GTCTGTCTGTCTGTCTGTCTGTCTGTCTGTCTGTCTGTCTATCTCTCTCTCTCTCTCTCTCTCTCTCTCTCTCTCTCTCTCAACATCCCCATACATGTACATGTATCTAGAGTGGCGTAAACTTCCCCCTTAACCGTACAGCTTTGCTATATTATAATATACTCCCCTCTTTGAGTTATGCCGCATGAAGACAAGGCCGTCAACTCTGCACTGCTGGGCACATCCATCTCCCATCTTCACGACATGACCGCCGAGTCGCCTCCAGCAAACCACCCCAACGTGAATATTAGAGAAAGCTGTTTACCTCGCAAACTCTCTCTCTCTCTCTCTCTCTCTCTCTCTCTCTCTCTCTCTCTCTTCTCTCTCTCTCTCTCTCTTTTTTTTCTCTCTCTCTCTCTCTCTCTCTCTCTCTCAGGGTATGTGTGTATGTATGTATTGTGTGTGTGTGTTTGTGTGTGTGATTTCGTGTGTTCCCACTGCCCTCCTATTTTCATAACCGTACCTCTTTTTTCTTCTCTATCCCACATTACCTGCTCTTCACCTTCATATACATTTTCTCTATTGTATCCTTCTTGTCATCTTATTTCTCTTATACTCCCCACCGCCGCCATCCTTCCACGACTCACGGTATTAGCTGTGTAAGCCTATTACTCTTTTCCACTGACGAAACAACCCTGAAGAAAGATGTCAGTTGTAAAAAGTGAACACTTTTGCTCCTCAGTTCTTACTTTACTTTACCCTTTCCTTCCTCTGGTATCCTTAGGATTCCGAGGGGAGGTGCAGGTCTTTCTTGGTCTTCCTTTTGATTTAAAGCCGTATTGGCTGGTGTTGTAAGCTCTAGCCGCTAGTTGTTTCTGGGGCATTCAGGTTAGATGTCAGAACCATTTGACTCTTTGAAGCTCTAATAAGTTTACTACTGGTAGGCGTATGGTCTCGTTCCTTATGCGGTCTCCTCTGGTGATGTTGGTGGTTTTGTGGAGACACCTTATTTCGCGTGCATTGATTTTTCTTTCTCATGCCTTGCTTAGAGACCATGTTTGGCACTAGTATCTTCGTGACTCATGTCAAGAACAAAGATAAGGAGGAAAGGGTGAAACAGGGAGTGAAGAAGACAAGAGAGGAAGGAAGTTTCCCTTGCGAGTATTGCGGAAAAGTTTTTCTTTTCAGAGACAAGCTGCAGTGTCATGTCGGTAAGCATACAGGGGAGAAATCTTATAAGTGCGAAATTTGCTACAAAACTTTTTGCTGTCCTTGAAGACGATATTGAGGAGACGATATTGAGGTCTTGTCATGTCCAATGGCAGTCTCACACTACTGGCCTAATGCAAAAAAGCGTCAGTTCCGCCCTTGCCTTTTCTGAAGCCAAACTGGGATTCATTGAGTTGAGTCTCTACAATTGGTCTCATTCTCATTTCCAGTATCCTGGCAAACGTTATATCCGCCCGGCTGAGAAGGGATATTCCTCTGTAGGCTCTGTGTTGTTTTTGTCGCCCAGGCCAGGTTAAATATCCTCCATAACTAGAGTTCTCCGATATGGCCGTATAGTTTGATCTCTTCTGCTGTGATGTTTTCAACGCCTATCACTTTGTTTGTGGGGCTTTTCTTTATGATATATTGGGTTTCACTCAGCAGTGGTGATGGTTGTGGAGTGGTTTCTTTCGGTGAGAAGCTGCTTGCTGTTGTTTCTGCTGTAGGATTCAGCAGCTCCAGGAAATAGCATTTCCATCTTTCCTTAATCTTTGGCTTTCTGAAAATAGGTTTTCCGTTCTCATCATTGACTATTTCAGTTGGGTTGAATGGTTCTTCCCGCATCCTCATGCTTTTTTAACTCTCTTGTAAAACTAAAACTGTCAAGGTTCTTCTTTACATTTTGTCACCAGCTGTTCTCCATATACTGTCCTGGATCTGTTCTTAGCTTCTTTAACTACCCTTGATGTTTAGCGGCGTTCCTTTCTGTATAGGATGTAGTCTTCCTCTGTCTTTGATTTCTGCCACTTTTTGAATGTCTTTTTCTTCAGCTGGATGGCTTCCTTCACTTGGTCATTCCACCATATAGTTGTTTTCTTTTTCTGCCCTCTTGTTTTCCTGGTGCCGCACTCTTCTTTTAATGCTCTGTTCACACATGCTTTGAAGTGGCTCCATTCCTCTTCAATGTCTCCCGGTTGTTCGGGAAATTTGTGAAATACAGTCGAACCTGCCCACCTCTGTATGACGGCCACCTGTACAAACGGCCACTTTCCATTTCCCCCCTTGCGTTTTTTCTATATAATTTAACTGTGTAAAACGGGCACCTGTCCAACGCGGCCGCGGCCACCATATTTTAACATACAACCCCTATCACACTAAGCAATAACACCTGTCTTAGACGGCCACTTTAGTGACTCCATTACGTTTTGTCATAAATTGTGCATTGACCCCTGGCGTTGTGGGTGAGCCGTCATAATCTAATCACCAGTCGTTGTTAGGAAGTCCCTCCAACCGACCATGTTGCGTAGGCCCCTCCCACTGTTGACTAATAGGTACCAATTTCCAGCTGCTAGTGAGGGAAGCGTGTGATCCCTCATAACCCATAAGCCCCACCCAGAACTCATACACAAATCGTAAGTGAGATGAGGGGTCACTGTTTACCCAGTCTGTAACAAAGTAACAATGGACGTCAACATGGACTTGTGACAGAAGCATCGCTCGTTCTTTGAGTGGGGGTGACCATGTGTTTGTTTTAACATGGCACTCGGTCTTCCTCGTCTGACACATTTCGTTTTATTGTCGCCCTTGCCCAAAATCAGCAACAAAATAAAAATAACAAATAAAATACAAACCAACAACAACAACAAAAACAAAAACAACAATAATGCGGCTACTTTCGATAGGGAATGGGGGTTTGTTTTCTTCATCTCGGTCAGTCCTGCTTAAGACGGCCACCTGTCTTATACGGCCACTTTTCTCCTTGACAATTGGTGGTCGTCTTACACAGGTTTTACTGTACATCTTTCAAACGTTCATGTATCTTATCTTTGGTATTGTCATTAATGTTTCTGAGATTTACGACTTCTGGTCGTTTCTTCGCTTCTGGCCTTTTCCTGCTTGGTGTGTCAAAAGTCATGATGACTGGTCTGTGGTCAGTGTCTGTGATGTAGATGGGAATCACTCTTGAGTCTCTGAGTTTTCTCAGTTTTCATCTTTTGGCCAGGACAAAATCAATTTGTGATGCTATCTTTAGGTCATTCCATTTGATTTGTACCAAGTTTTAACTTGACTCCTTTTGTGTTGGAAGAAGGTATTTGATGTGACGAGGTCATGTTTTTATAGCATTTCTCCATTGCTGTTTTGATCTGTTTCTCTGTCACTGTGTGGCCTCATGTATCTCTCCCACGTCGTCTTCCTTATTTCCACTCTGCTGTTAAAGTTCCCCATGATTGTCACATTATCTTTGTCATCCAAGGTGTTAAAGGTCAATCTGTTGATCATAGAACTGATGTCGCTGTTCTTCGGGGTATGAGTCATTGCATGGTGCATATATCGGTATTTGATGACTGTCAGTAATTATCATTCTATGGTGATTTCCCGCTTTATACCATACTCGTTGAATTTTATATATATTCTTCAAGTCTGTGTTATGCTTTTTTAGTTTAGTTTTAGCTTTGGTTTCAAGTTCTCCCCGTCAAAGACGGTTGCAGTACACTTCTGCCAAACAGGCAGACGTGTGCTGCAGCCGGATTTGACGCTATACGGGGAAAGGATTCCCGTCCAGAACCAAGCTCATTTCCTCGGCGTCATTTTCGACAAAAAACTTACATTCATACCACACATCAAAGACCTTCAAGTGAGGTGCCAGAAAGCGCTAAACGTTTTGAAAATTCTATCGCATCCGGACTGGGACGGGGACTCAAAACACCTTCTCCGCTTGTACATCTCCTTTGTCCGGTCCAGGCTTGACTACGGCTGGTAAGTCTACGGATCAGCAAAACCATGCATCCTGAAAATGCTAGACCCAGTACAAAACCAAGGACTCCACCTCGCTCTGGGGGGCTTTCCGCACTCCAGGCCGAGGCAAACATACCACCACTCTCACTCAGATGCACACAAATCTCACTACAATACGCAATTAAACAGAGCTCAACACCAGAAAATCCAGCGCACAACTGCATTTTTAAAACAAACCCAGAAACCATAAACAAATTCCAAAACAACAAAAAACTCATCAAGCCCTTCGGCCTCAGAATCCTTGAGGACCTCAAAAACTTACACTTTTCCAAACAAGACATCCAACAATTTATTTTTCCCCCCCCCCTCCCTCCGTGGCACCTCATCAAGGAAAAAGTAGACTTGCAGCTGACCACACACAACAAAGAAAGCACAAACACCAAAACTTTTTAAGCAGAATACAAAAAACTAATAAATAAATACCCCGGTGCGGAGCTCATCTTCACGGGTGGCTCCAAAAAAGACAATGAAGTGGGCGCCGCAGCCCTATCTTCCAACAGTACACACCACAGGAGACTCCATCCTGAAGCCTCCATTTTCTCTGCGGAGGCCACTGCCATTGACATGGCACTGGACTCCGTAGAAAATTCTCCAAACAAATCTTTCCTTATCCTTTTTGACTCTCTGTCTTGCATCACGTCACTCCCAAACTACACACTCTTACTCCCAAAAATAGACCTGGCAAAGATAGCCTTATCCCTTCTGTTGGGATCAACAAAAAGTACACCTCCAGTCTGTGGGAGAGCCACTGGGAACAACAGAAAAATAATAAACTGTATATTATAAAACCCAAACTGGAACAGCGAAATCCTTCGGACCTCTCCAGAAGAGACAAAGTCATTTTTACTCGATTGCGCATCGGACACACGGCCCTGACCCACAAATACTTCCTACAGAGAGATGAGAAGCCGTTCTGTGTCGGATGCGACACAGATTTTACCATTAGACACATCTTAACCGAATGTCTAGGCTTTAGAGAGATTCTAAGGAAATATTATAAATGCAAAAAATTGCAAGACATTTATTCCGTCGTTCGTCCCAGCAGATTTTTTAGTTTTATGAAGGCCATTGGCCTTTATGGCAAATTATAAAATTAAATTGTACTATTTAAAATTTTTATGTTAACTAGAAAAAATTGTTTTAGATTGAAAATATATATGTTTACACTGATTTTTAAACATTTTAACATTTTAAGATTTAACTACTGACCCGAGCCAGCCGTACAGTAAACTGTTGTGAGCAAAACTAACTTGTGTTTTGCGCGCTCATATGACCTTATGCAGTTGCGAGTGCCGTAAAACCCTACACTAAACTAACAAACAAGCTTTGGTTTAACGGCACTTGCAACACAAATAGGTCATATAAGCCCCGAAAATTAGAGGTGTTACAAGAGAGTAACATACACAGAAAAGAACGAGGACAGAAGAGGACGATTGATTGTTAATAGGGAAAAAAGGAACAAACCGCCGACCTCCTGCTTGAGTTATGCATGTAAGATTGAAACTGCTTTCAATTTTAATCATTTTCTCCCAATAGCAAGTTAAAGAAATCTTTAAAACAAAATGAGTGATGTTTTTCTTTTGAAAATCGGACCATTATAATGGAAAGTGTGTCAGGGTTGGGTTTTTTTTATAATAGGCATGGGACTTCCGACGTCACGCTTATGACATAATTAAACGGTAAATAGAATTTTACTCTTAATGTACTTGACTTTTATTTTTATATATTGATTCTACATAAAACAACTAACAAAATGATACCTCACTGGTTACGATACAACTATTATTAAGGGTTTTATGACGTTATGAAGCAAAATTTCGAGTTTTGGTGGCACAAAATGCAGTGCAAAAATTTGACCAAATCAGGGCGAAAATTGATTCACAAAAATGGTCGCTGCTTCTGAACGAGCAAAGATAGCACAAAAATTTAAAAAGCTCTGAAAACAGAAAGCCAACCTCTTTTCAATAATCCAAATTTTAGTGCCCCTGGAGAAGTTTGAAAATTTCACTGCAGTGCCTATGTAAGCCTCAGTGGAGGCATGTTTGCCTAACAGATATAAACACAAACCAAGACAACTTCCAAGTTCCATCATGAACTTGAAGGCCATGTTTTTATTCCCCACATCTCATGTTGTTGAATGCTTAGCTTTGCATGTACCTGTTTACCTTGCATTTCCAAGTGAGGGTCCAATATACCATGTTGGCATTGGTGCTACATTACAGGTTTATTTCACTTTTTCTTCCTCTAGACGCAGATTTGATGACATTTGGCACAGATAGAGGATTGTCTGCCCGCCTCACTCTGGACTCTGCACGGAGACCTCCAGGGACCAGCCAGGGTCTTGTGCGTCATCACTGCAGGATCTGCGGCGCTGCCTTCGTGGGCCAGCTACAGCTCAAGCTTCATCAGTGGATTCATCAGATGGCCCAGCCCAGCTCTCAGAGGAGAAGGGCAGCTTCAATGTCTCAGAGGAAACTGGCCACTCCCGGTTCTGAGAAGAAGAATGAAGGAGCGAGTTTGTCGAGGGTGCTGAAGGGTGTGAATAACGGGGCGGAAGGTTCTGCAGCAGACGCAGATCTTGGAGCGATGGAGATCACTGTGTTGTCTGACAGGAGAGTGATAACGCCGTGGCAAACTGGGCAGGAGAATGTGCCGGTAGTAGAACTTCCACGCGCTGTCAAGCAGACAGGTACTCTAGGGATTAAGTCAGGGATTATTGTTGGGAAGAAAAGACCGGTTGGTAAGTTACAGCGAAGTTTGCTGAAGGACAGGCTGCCAAGGGAGGGTGGTCAGAAGAGAAGTGACAGCGAAGATAATACGCCAAAGAAGTGCCCAGTGTGCGGGGAGATGTTTGTAAAGCCCGCGGCCCTGAGAATTCACCTGTCTGAGCACCTGTACTACGACATACATCGAGGCCAGGTGTTGATTCGTGGGGCCGTCTTGCCCAACACCAACGGGACCGGCGTGGACGTCATGGAACAGACCTCGGCTGGTGAAGTCCTCGCGGGTGAGCAAGAGGGACCCCCGCCAGACGGGCTGGCCAAATCAAACGGGCCTGTGCCATATAGCCACAGCGATGTGAAAGGTAGTGAGTTCAGCTACGTGTGTACTCTGTGTAATGTAGGATTCATGCGTAAGAAACAGTTGTGTGCGCATCGGCACTCGGAGCACAGCAGCATCAAAAGCGTGTACAAGGACAAGAGATTGGTGCTCAAGTCGCCCTCGTCCATCAGACGTAAGTCCAACATGTGTGAGATCTGTGGGGAGGTGTTCAAGTCACTTTACTCCATGAAGATCCATGTGCTCCGCCACAAAGAGAACTTATATCAGGGCAATATTTGCCTCAATGACTTTTCCACTTCTGACGTGCTCACAGTTCACAAGAAACTGCAAGAGCCGAAAGATCTTGAAGCCCAGCCTGCTGAAAAGTCTGAATTGAAAAAGTTTGTTTGCGATGTCTGCGGCAAGACGGTTAAGTCAATGAAGCAGTTGCAGAGCCACATGTTACGCCATACAGGTGGCGACATATACACATGCCGAGTTTGCAAAGAGAAATTCTCCTCCCTGAAGCTGTTAAAGACCCACCAGGCTGAGCAGGGCCACGTGGTCGACAAGCCGTTTATCTGTGAGGTGTGCGGCACTGCTTACTCTCACATCTTCAGTCTCAAGAGACATCACTTCGTGACTCATGTCAAGAACAAAGATAAGGAGGAAAGGGTGAAACAGGGAGTGAAGAAGACAAGAGTTGAAGGAAGTTTCCCTTGCGAGTATTGTGGAAAAGTTTTTGACTTCAAAGACAAGCTGCAGTGTCATGTCGGTAAGCATACCGGGGAGAAATCCTATAAGTGCGAAATTTGCCACAAAACTTTTTGCTACCCGAGTTCTCTGTCCTTTCATAAACGGAAGCATAGGGAGACAAAGGTGAAAGAGAAGCTAAAAGTAAGAGTGACTTGTGAGTATTGCCATAAGGTTTTCTGCAGCCAGCAAATACTGGCCAGTCACATCAAATACCACACCGGTGAAAATCTCCACACCTGCGAAATTTGCAAAAAGTCTTTTGCCTACAAGGCATCATTCGTCTTGCACAAACGGAGCCATGCAGGTGAGCGACCTTACAAGTGTGACCTCTGTCCCCAGCGATTTCTTCGCCCGTACAACTTAAGGTGTCACTACCGCATCCACACGGGCGAGAAGCCATATCCGTGCCAGATCTGTGGCCAGAAGTTTCGACAGCAGGGTGACCGCAACTCGCACCAGAAGCGTCACGCTACGCAGGCCGCCAAGGCATCCAACAACGTGTCGAGCAGCACAGCAGCAGTCCAGACACAGGTGGAGGCTCAGGTCCCAGCCACAATTCAGATTCAAGTCCTCTCGCAGCAGGACAATGAGACGGCCACATCGGTCATTAGTGTTCTTCAAGGCTAATTATTCTCTTATACATTGCACAAAGGGTCATTCTACTTGACTTCTACACTCAGTATGGAGACAGTGTTGGTGATTCTTTTGATTTTTTAAATAAAAGAAGCCTTTAGAAAGCCTTAATCTGCAGTGAATTATAAATGGCTACAGACAAAAAAATTAAGAAAATGTCAGTCTAAAAGGAAAGGGGGGGGGGGGGGGTAATTATGCATAGATAAACTTGCATTTTATTACAGTGTGTGTGTGTGCGCGCGCTTGTGTTTGTCTAAAAAGAAGAAAATGCTAATTTCAATTATGAAAAAAAAGTAAAATATGTACAGTATTATCTTACTACTTACAGTGATAGGGGGGAAAGCAGACTTTTAAGCATGAGTATTTTAGTCTACTAAACCTTATATCTGTTTTATAAAACCAAGGAAAGGAATTCTGAATGTTTAAAGATGTAAAAACAGAATACATTTTTTAAAAGTGATTTAAATCACTGAGTTTTATTTTTAAAATCAAGTTGATTTAAATTTTTAAAAAATCAACTGAAATCGACCCAACCCTGGTTTTCTATTATGAAAAAAAAAGTAAATTGAGAACTGCATTATTTTACAGTGACAGGGGAGAAAGCAGACTTTTAGGCATGATTATAATATTAGTCTACTAAACCTTATATCTGTTTAATAAAACCAAGGAAAGGAATTCTGAATGTTTAAATATATGTAAAAACTGAATACATTTTTTTGAAAAGTGATTTAAATCACTGATTTTTATTTTAAAAATCAAGTTGATTAAAACTTTTTAAATCAACTGATTTAAATCAACCCAGCTCTGATTTCATTTATTGAAAAAAAAGTAAATTGAATACTGTATTATTTTACAGTGAAAGGTGGGAAAGCAGACTTTTAAGCATGATTATATTAGTCTACTAAACCTTATATATTTGTTTTATGAAACCAATGAAAGGAATTTTGAATGTTAAAATGTGTAAAAACTGAATAAAAATACATTTTTTAAAAGTGATTTAAATCACTGATTTTTATTTTAAAAATCAAGTTGATTTAGATAAAAAAAATCAACTGATTTAAATCAACCCAACCCTGTATGGAGATATAATATGAAAGTTGAAAATGATAACTTTGCTGTGAATTATTTTTGAATCACCGTTTTTATCCGCTTGACCCAGGTGAAAAACATGTGCTTGTTATTGTACAAATGTTATAGGTGGCGATCAAGACTGTTACGTCCTGTTTAATTCACAGCAAATGACAGAAAAATCTCCTGCAAAATTACGTCTGATCTTAAACTTGTCCTCCAGCACGAAGAAATACTTTGGGAAAGCTGATGTTTTTGTTCTTGTCAATGATTGTACTTTAATATTTTGAAGAAAGATTATGCACAAAACTTGGTAATCTAGTTGTCTTTTGTCTGTTGATTTATAAAATTTAAGCCCCACTATGTTCTTTTGTCTTTGAGCTGTTGCTGTATTGCTTTTTATATATACAAATTTTTATCATTAGGTTCCAAAAAAAAAAAGTGATGAGAATAACTTCTAACATTGTGATTAGATCTGAGTTAGTGGAAAGGAAATATGACAAGTGACTTGTTGACAGCGGCTGTACTGTATTACAATTGCTCATAGACTTGACCCACCTGCTGAAAATTGGAGTTTGGATCAGATCTATCAAATCTTTAAATTGTTTTTGGGCTCTTTGTCTCTTGGAGAATAATCTTTTTAGCAAGTTCTGCACCCGCAGAGTGATTGATTCTGTGTCTAAGGCCACTACCGCACTACGACAGTTCGTACCAGGGCAGACCTGTCTTGAGTTTGAAGCCTTTGAATTTGAGTGTAATGTACCGCACCTATTGGGACAGGAGGATACTTTTGTCGTATTGAGTCCTCAGCGGTTGTGAATTGCTACAAAATTGGTGGGACAGGACTATCCCATTCCGGGGTAATATCGTCTGTGATTATAGAGAAATATAGCCGCCTACCACATTAGGACAAAACTGTCCCAAGACCTGGTGACGCCTGCTGTCAAGGTCATGGCGCTTGCATTTTCTGCATCTCGATTCTCACCCTTTTTCTGTCATCTGCAGTTGCTCTGTTGTTTCTAAAATGTACACAATCTATTGTGGCGGGTAAGAATTCTCATCAAAATGGGATGTTGATCCAATTTGGATAGAAAACTTTATTTGTGTAGTGTAAAGTAAACCATGTTTGTACAACAAGACTGATGTTGACACACAGTTACAGTATAATGCACTTATATCAACACTTATAATTTTATATGTCGCCCAGTGACAACGTGCTAGACTAACTACTACACTATAACCATCGTTGCGACATCCAATGACTGGACAGCCTACTTCATGAGTTCGATCAGTGAACATCTTGCCACTTATAATCATTAAATAAATTTCCACGTTTTGTTTGTTGATTTTCAGTTTCTGATCTCCCTTCTCATTCATGCTCCTCCCCCAACCATTTTTAATCTTTACCCCCTTGTTGTTTGTTTGCTTGATATTTTTTTTGGGGGGGGGTTTGGAAGTTTGTTTTTTTTTGGTGTATTAATTTGTGTTATCTTTTATAAACAATCTAAGGAATTCTTGTTTCATAAATTTAGCTTCTCCTCAAAGTTGTACTCACACAAACACGCACACGCACATACACAAGCGCGCGCGCGCACACACACACACACAAGTGCGCGCACACACACACACCAAGCAGTTGGCGATGAAACCAACCTCGTGTCGTCACTCAGTGACGAAGCCCATCGCGCACGCTGAGCGGCAAAGCGACACGCCACGGCCCACGGCGAGATCTGGTTAAGTTGCGAGGGAAACCCCGTGCGATGCCAAAAATAGATGGCTGAAATACGACGTCTATATTTCGGCCAATCACAGAGATGTGCTACATGCTCGCTGCAGCTTCATGTGTTTCACTTTGTAGTTGTGTAAGAATCAAGGGAAGCATCCAGTTTAAAAAGTAGTGTTGTCTTTTTACCACTGACCTCCCCTTGTTTTTTCGTCTTTGGCTTTATATTTTCATTTATTGACATTTTTGTTATATATCGACGTCAAATCCACTTCCCAAAGCACATGGAGATAAGTGGATTACAATGTATTAACTATCGTCATTTTCCTCTACTTCTTTTGTATGTTTGTCACACTCTTGTGACCAGCTATTTCCGAGGTGCCTTGATAGTCGAAGCAGACTTTGTGCTGTTGAAACTAGAGAGGTGCAGTGGCGGTGGGTGGACCAAGAATTGGGTGGGGCTTAGGTTTCTTCCACTTCTTTACCTCCAAAAAGCAAGCAATCAGAACAAAACAGTGATGATTTTTCTATACTCACGGCGAGCCACGGCATTTTGAGAACCATTCAAATGAGAAGAGTCACCTTTGTCTTCCATCTCTTTGTTCTTAGTTAAATTTAAGCTCTTCTGGATGGTGGGGACGAAGCCGTTTCACCTCCAAATTTCTCTAATTAGTTTTTATCTGAAGAAAAAGTTGCCTCAAAAGTGGTTTGATGTAATTAATAACTGTTAAATCTCAGCTGCACAAACACACAGCACTCCAAACACATACCGTCTATGAGGTGGATTGGGTCGTGTTGTTGCGGAAAATAGAACGCGCCTAACAAAGGCCCAATGGGCGCATAGGTAACTGTGTCACTGGGGGAAAGTGTGTCGTAAACTTTCACCCCATTGTCAGGGCTGGGAGAGCGTGAGACCTCTGTGCAGTGTTATTTTTTAACGTCTTCTACCTTTTTACAAGAAGAGTTTCATTAAAGACGGGCGTGGGAACCGGCTCATTCTTTCTGAGCCCTAACGACATTTGATTGGCTGTTAGGTTACTATAGTTGTAAGCGGTGACAACAATGATTGGACAAACGGGAAAGCCGCCAAGCTGGTAACTGTGTGTTCATTGCTCGCGATCATAACGGTTTCAACTGCTTATTTCGTTATTTTAGAAACTTTCATTAAGTTGGGATAAAGTTGGGGTGGGGACGGGGTGGGGGTGAGGGGCTCAAGCCCGTAAGCCCTTCACTACCAACCGCCACTGGAGAGGTGAGAGGGAATAAGTCTGATTCCCTGTAAGGACTTCTCTGTTGACCTCCACCCCTTGGTGCTCATATGACCGTATGCTGTTGCGAGCGCCGAAAAACCTCTACTAAAACAACAGAGCACAGACAATGCCCCACCAGGCCAGTACTACTGATTGAAGTTGTCTTTAGGCCATTCCCAAAAGGGGGATGGTAATTAAAATGTTCTTATGCAAAGTAGAATTGCAAATATAGGCTAATTTATCACACTGGGCTGGAACAACATAGAGGGGGAACTGCTGCTTTTTGTTTTCTCATCCTTACTACTATCGTCATTTTCCCTCTACATACTAACAATAACAAAATACTAACATGTACTTCTTTTGCATTTGTCATTCTCTTGTGAATAATGTGAACTGTGGGTGGTTGGCGGGTGCTCTAGTGTGGTTTGCTTTTTCTTTCCTATCAAACATCTCAATCGTCCTTATCTCCTCTTTTTCTTTTTTATGTTGTTACTCTCTTGTAACACCTCTAATCTTCTGGCGCTCATATGACCTTATGCAGTTGCGAACGCCGTAAAACCTCTACTGAAATTAATGTGAACTGCTATTTCCGGATTGCCTTGATAGTTGAAGCTTACTAAAAACTAAAAAGAGCACAGGCACATTGTCATGCTACCTCAATTTCATCCAACTTGAAGATGCATTCTAGGCCTAGTGCATGCCAAATTCAAATAGTGGGTGAAAAACACATAACAAAACTAAACACGCTCAAAATAATTGAACTTGGTAATCGGGCATTAAAAAATAAAATTTGATTTGTGCTCCCCACGAGAGTTTTGCTAATTTTGGGTCGCTGATCACGAAAATCGTATCATTTTAAAAAAATGTGTATTTATAATAAGGTAATAGTAATAGATTCTAAGACATTTTTGTCATAACTCCGCCTTGGGCAACACCAAAGTATCGAAGAAGCCGCCTTATGCTTTCACAAGATCAGTCCTGTCCTGGTGTGGTATCTGTTTTGAAACGAAAAATTTGACTGTCAAGACCTAATTGCTTACTAGTACTAGACTAATACAGTGGAACTCGGATTCAACGAGATGAGACAGATTCCCCGTTTGTTTTGTTTTTCTTCTTTAAAATC